ATATATATATACTATCCACTTAGCAGAAACCACATCATGAATGATAGTCCATACACCCATACACTGAACTTATCTCCTGTTCACATCTACCTTGAAAAAGTCAATATAATCCACACACAAAACTGTTGCAAACAAAAAAATTCTCAAAATTTATATGGAAGTAAGAAGGACCAAGGATAGCCCAAACGACCATGGAGAATAAGAACATGGGAAGAGGCATCAGTGTAGACGATTTCAAGTTACACTACAGAGCCATATTATAAAAGAGGATGGAACAGGCACAAATATAGCATGCCAGGTAAAAACCTATTGATCAATGTAATAGAACATCTATATGTAACTCAATGAAACGATAGCCACTTTACTTTTGACAAAGCAACCCCAAAACACAGATTGGAGAAGGTAGTATCTTCAGCAAATGATGCTGGAAAAACTGGACATCTATAAGTGTAAGAATCAAGTTTAAACCTTGTCTCTCACCCTACACAAATATCAGTTACAAAATGGATCAAAGACATTCTCCAGTATTATACCTTCAGGTATAATACTGAAACTACTAGAGGATAAAATAAGGAGTACATTTAAAGATAAAGAAAGAGATTTTAAAATAAGATTTCAGAGACTTGAGAAATAATGTAAATAACAGTGATGTGGATTCTTACAAGATCAAAATGATTCTTTTATGCAAAAGGTACCATTATTAAAATTAATAGCTTGCAAAATGGAAAAAAAACCTTCTCTACTATATATGTGACATCTGGTCAGAATATACAAAGAGCAAAATAAACCTAAAGAAGGCAAACAACCCAATTAACAAATGGTCTAGGAAATTGTACTGAGAATTGTCTAAAAAGAAAGATCTAACCCAACCTCATCTCCAGCACTGACCTTTCTTCACTGTCTCCCTCAAACTTAGATGTCACTCAACAGAAATATGCATAGAGAATACGTGATATATTTACACAATACAGTATTACCCAGCTGTTAAAAAATGACACCATTAAATTAGCAAGCAAATAGATAGAAGTAGAAAAATATCATTCTGAGTGAGGTAACCCAGACTCAGAAAGTTAAATATAGTTGTGTATTGCTTGTATGCAGAGTTTTATTGTCAAGTAAATGATAAATAAACTACAGTCCTTATACCCAGAGATGTTAGATATAGAGGAACGATCTATGAATGATACAAATAGCTAATAAATTCTTTAAAAGCAATAGGGACTTCATCTCTATTGAAGGTTATTTCTCTTGCTTAGTATTCCTTAATGGCTTGTAGCTCTTTCTATAGCTGAGACCAAGGGGGTTAGGATACATGGGAAGGGAAAGAGGGAAGAATGATAGAGAGAAAAATGCCATATTATATTTTAATTTAAAAATAAAAATATTGTTAAAAGGAGAGGGATGGTTTGAGCAGAACAATGAGCAATTCAACAACTAATATCTTCAGGAAAGAAAAAAATTTAATTGGTTATTGAGAAGATGGAGATACAATTCTAATGTGAGTTAGGAAAATTCAATTGCTGTTATTTTGAAGACTTTTTGAAGTTTTATTCACAGTGTTCATTCTCTAAAAATGAATGTAATGTGTATGTGAAAATTATGATCATGCAACTTGTATGCCAGAAAGAATATTATAAGAGGAAGAAACATTACTCCGAGTAGGACTAGATATTTTAAAGGGATTCTATATATCATGATATCTGTTCCAATGGTAGTTCTGTTTATCATACACAGAAACAAAGGATTTTGTTTGAAATATTGTGATTTTATTTGTGTTATGTGCATGGAGGAATATGTGTTGACACATAGAGTTCTTCCAATTAATGTAATTTTGTTAAATGTCATATTCATTTTTTAAGAGAGACTAAACCTAAAATTATATCAAACCAACTAAAAATAAATAAAAATTATACTTGTGCATCATTGGTTTTGAGCATTCAAAGGATTTTTAGCATTATCAAATAAGGGGGATATTTCTTTTCATTATAAGGAAAATGACTAATTTAAGAGACTCCAAAACTTTTACCCAAATTTAAATCAAACACGCTGATCTTTTCTTAACTCAATTAAAAAATTACACAGGTCAACTTAAACATTATGTTAACAACAATATTTTACTTTACCAAAATAGCATGAAGAAAATCCTTCCAATGAGGTCCAATTTCCTTATCTTTAAGTCTCCTGTCAAAGGTGGGAGGTTCCTTTCTTTTTGAAAGTCTTAACCTGTGTGCACCTATAGGTGACAAGGAAAACAATCTTTTCTTATCTGCAAGTCAATATGAATATATACATCATGCATTTGTACACACTATAAGTAATTGCATTTTGTCATGGAATGACAAGTGAATTATGTTTAGCACAATAAAATGAACGTGTGTTTTACAATACAAGTTCTTCAACAGTAGTGTTTTCCTAAACACAGTTCTTAGACAATGAAAATTTCTAACATTTGAACTCCCCCCATTCTACAGTTAGCTACTAAGTATGTCTCTTAAACATTTAAAATATGGTTTCTATGGCTGAATAAATTCCTAATTTAATGTAGAATTGAATAGCCATATTAACTAATTAACATTTGATGACACAGTTCAAAAATAGCCCCTCTAAAAACAACTTTTATGTATCACAAAGTATTTTGTGGTAATACATTGTCACTACCAAGTTTGAAATTTGTGCAAGAATATATAGTAATAATGTAATAGTAATAATATTAATGAATGTAATAATGACATTTCCATTCTTGTACACATATCATTTGACTTTCTCAATTGGCATGATCTTACTCACTGCCCTCTCCTACCCTCTTATCTTTTCTTCTCATGCAGCCCCTTGTGCCCTTTATATCATACATATACCTGCCATCACAGCCTCTTTCCTGCAAATGTTGTGACTATTCTTTACATTTGAGAAAAGTGCCCTGGATAAGACATTTTCTTATCCAGTAATTTGTTGTTGTATTTCTGGCAGGTTTTAAATTACAGTTGTTGTGAATAGTGCAGTAAGAGTAATGAAGGTTTCACTTTTCTTGGATGATGCCTCATTGGCACTTCCTTAATGACAGCTACTCTGGGTGGTGAGAGATTGAATCTCAAAAGAGTTTCACTTACCATTTCTCTGATTGCTAAAGTTGTTAAAAGACTTATTTTAAACACTTTAGGTTAGCATATAAAATAGTTGGCTTCATAACTATTTTTTCTTGCATATATGTCATCACACTCTGTTCTTATTAATTCCCTCTCCCTATTGCTCTCCCACATGTCATGACCACCCACCCTGTTTATTCCTCTCCCTGTGAGTCTCACATTCTGCTCATGTATTATCTGTATTTCATTGCTGTCTATCCAACTTCCTTTATGCTCTCTTCAGACCACCACTTCATCACTTCTCTAGTTGTCACACCCACAATACACCTTCACACATGCACACACTGATACATACTACATTCATGAATGTGTACATGCATATATATTTTTTTACATTTATATCCTACTTATGGTAGAAAAAAATTGGTATTTGACTTTCTGAATTTCACTGGCTTGAATTAACAAAAGAAATCCTAGACCTCATGATTTAACGTTTTTATAGCTGAATAAAATTCCATTGTGCATAGGTACTATATTTTCTTTCTCCAATTAAACTATTTATAAACATCTAGATTACTTCTATCTTTTAGGTACTGTAAATAATAAGGCAACAAGGAAAAACACACAGATATTCTAGCATACATATTGAAGAATCATATAACTAGGCCATATAATGGCTTTATTTTCAGTTTTTTAAAAAAATATTCTAATTATTTATAAATTTGTGTGTGAGAAATTATTTTTACATAAACAATTGCCTGTGTAGCCCACAGGTACAGAAAATTATGACCAAACTCTGCAAGAGTGGTATGCATTATCAACTGCTACAACATCTCTACAGACTCTTATTTTCTGAATTGTTTTGAAAGAATCTCCAGAGTAACTATAGAAATTGATGTTACCATGAGCATTGAGTAATGGTTTTTCTTTCCCTACATTCTCTTTAATATCTGTTCTTTTCATGACAGCTATTCTGAGCACATGGAGATGGAATTTCAGTGCATTTTTTTGTTTGTATTTTCATAATAAAAATGATACCAAACATTCTTCAAATGTTTATTGTTATTTCCTTAATGCCTGATTATTTAGCCAGGTGGTAGTGACACATATCTTTAATCCTAATTCTCAGGAAGCAAAGGCAGATGAAACTTTTAGTTCAAGGCCAGCAGGATCCAAGATAGCCAGGGCTATACAGAGAAACCTCATCCTAAATAAACAAACAAACAAAAAACCCAATTCAACCTACATAAAACAAAACAAAATTGAGATTTTAACCTATGTTCTTTAGTGATGAACTTTCCTTTTCAGAACTGTTTGAGCTGCGTCCCAAGTGTTTATGTATATTGTACTTTCATGCGTCATTTTCTTTTGTATATTTGAAGAATTGAACCTGAACATTCAGAACTTTCCCCAACCCATTTTGTCTTTCCCTGCTTGTTCTTGCTTTCACCACTAGCAAGTCCATTTTTTCACTGGCACTAGAGCCTACTTTTGCATATTTCAGTAAATATCAACTGAGGCATCTGACTCATGGACTGAACAAATTGTGACCTTCTGTTCTTAGATAGACAGAAATTGTTGGGTTAGCTACTCCAGAGCTTTTAGGTCATTCTAATGAAATATATATATTTGTAATTATATATAATTAGTTATTGATAGAAGTATAGATAGATTTTATATATATATATATTATATATATATATATAGAGAGAGAGAGAGATGATATAGAGATAGAGTTAGATAGATAGAGATAGAGACAGAGAGAGAAAGATAGAGATAGAGATGTTAAAGATAGAGAAGTAGAGGTAGAGAGGTAGAGAGAGAGAGGGAGAGAGAGAGAGAAAGTTTTGTTACACTAGAGAATCTAACAGACAAGGGTAAATAGATTTGAGTATTCTTCATTTATAAAGGACACCTGTGCACTTTAATGATAAAGGTATTAATAAAAAGGATAATTAGTAACACAAATATATACTAATGAAAATATATTCTTAAATATGATATTTGGATGTGATATCGCTTGATGTGGTAAAAAATGACAAGATTATCATGCAATTTCTTTGTGACAGAGCCATAGCACTAGGAAAAGCATATTCATAAGGAAAGGTAGTTTATCTATGCTTTAAGAACAGGAGCTGAGGGTAAAAATTGTTGTAACTAATTGTATTCTTTTTATACTCACCAGGTAGACTAGTTGGAAAACAGAACAACGGTAAAGATGTACAAAATGAGATTGCAGCAACAAACAAAAAAAATATTCCCCAATGACTCTGTTGTTGATGTAAGCTGTTAAGAGTTTGACTTTAATGGAGAAAGATAAAAAATTTCAATTAGGAGAACTTATAAAACAAACCATAATTTGTTGGGCGAATGAGAGAGTTTTCTGTTAATTTGCAGTCATTTGTAATTTGTCACTAATAATTTGGGCTTTGCTGATGTGAGCCAGTTGTCAGCATTCAGTGCTACTGTTTGGTCTTTCCTGCCATCAGAGCCTCACTTCCCCACTTCCATTTTCAGTGACAAGACTCAGACAGCAGACAGTCCTTCTTGTTCCTATTTAAAGATTTCCTCCTTTAATCTGTGCCTCTGGAAAACCAAGACTTGTTTCTTTTTCTGGCTCCTGTAATCTTACACCTGGACCTTTGTTACAAGAAACCTTGCTCTTTAGGTTGCACTAATTTTCTTGTTTAAGGCATATGACTCTTGAGGTCACATGACATCTGCAAGTCTTCCTTCAGGCCCCTTGTGCTAAGTGTACTAGCTACTTCTGTGGTCTCTCCAGTGTTTCTATAGGACTCATTTGCATTCTTTCTTAAGGCTATTTTTGTTCTTCACAAAGCTTCGCAGCTGGAAAAGTACAGAGAGGACATGAAATACCCTGTGCTAGTGATTGCTAAGTTTCTGTCTCACAGAATGACTATAATCTATCAGTATCTCTTCTCATTAAACAATGCTGAGCCCAATAGTATAATTTTCAAAATTACCAAGGGTTTTTTGCTTGTCTGTTTTCTTGAATCATTTAGGTAAAAACATCTAAAGTAGTCAATGAATATTCTATTACAAATATTTTCAGCTCCATATCCATGGAATATCTTAGCTGGGAGATTGAAAGATGCCTAGCGGAGATTATCAGCACTTAATGTGCTTGCAGGTAACAGGGTTTTGTTTGCAATACACATGTCATAGCTAGCAATCATCTGTAATGTAAGTTTCAGAGGAATCAATACTGCAGGCACTTCATACATATCATGCAGACATGACTAACAGAATCAGAAAATAGATTTGAGTATAATTCAATTTTAAAAAACAATTGTGCACTTTCAACATGTGCTAGGACATGTTTGTGGAGCTCAGAGACCAAATTACATGGGCAAATTCTTTTTCCAAGAATCCATTTATGGATAGAATATTTACAAAATTTTAATTTCAACTGAAGTTATTATTTTTTTTTTTTTTTTGGTTTTTCGAGACAGGGTTTCTCTGTGTAGCCCGGGCTGTCCTGGAACTCACTCTGTAGACCAGGCTGGCCTCGAACTCAGAAATCCTCCTGCCTCTGCCTCCCAAGTGCTGGGATTAAAGGCGTGCGCCACCACCGCCCGGCCTGAAGTTATTTTTAATGAATATTTTTGTTCATTGTAACATTGAGGAATTAATATATTAGCCATTTATTACAGGTTGATTACTTTGTGAAGTACATATCAAATTTTATTTTTTAAATTTTCCATACATGTATATGTTCATGCATATGGTATAGAAGGGGCTCAGAGTACAAATTGCAAGACTTTGTACTATCGAGTGGGACCTGGCTTCTAAAGAAAAGTCTTCAGTGTTGATGTCCAGCATCTCTGTACTACAAGACATCTTGCTGGCCCTGTTCTAATTGTCTTAATATCATGATCTTTATCATTTGATTTTCAGAAATTCTAATCAAGATGTTTATTTTTCTGAGTTTGTATTAAGTTTTACAATTTAAAAGCTAGTCACAACCCTCCAGTGTGGGGGAATTTAAGGGTGGGGAGGTGAGAGTGAGTGGGTGGATAGGTGAGGGCACATCCTCACAGATGCAGGAGGAAGAGAAATGGGATAGGGGGTTTCTGTGTGGGGGGTGGGAAATGGGGAAAGGGGATAACATCTGAAATGTAAATAAAATATCTAATAAAAAAGGAAAAAAGATACTACCGTTAATGTAGGTTTTCAGTTATAGACGAATAAATGTAAACATTCTCAATAAAGCATTTGCAAACTGAATATAAGAGTATATTTAAAAGATCATCCTCCATGATCAAGTAGACTTAATTCCAGAGATGCAGATAGCATTCCACATATTTAATTCAATAAATATAGTTAACCACATAAACAGAGTGAATGATATAAACCACATGGTCATTACCATAAATACAGAAGAAGACCTTGACAAATGCAACATCTTTTTATAATAAAAGTCCTGGATATTCTAGAAATATAAAAGACCCACAATAACATAATACAGGTGATTTACATCAAGGTTACATCCAACATCAACCTAAATGGAAAGAAATTCAAAGCATTTCTATGAAAATTAGGTACAAGAACAAATAGTTCTTTCTACACTTACTCATTTTAGTACTTAAAGTCTAACCTATAACAATAAGACAACTGAAGGAGATCAAAGTGATACAAATGCAAAGGAAGACTTCAAATAATCTTTATTTGTAGAATATATGTTTTATAAATAAAGTTTCTAAAGGTTCCACCAACAAACTTCAACAACCAATAAGCACTTTCAGCAAAGTAGTAGAACACAAAATCAACATAGAATACTAAGAACTCATCCTATATCCAAATTACAAACAGGATAAAAGATCAGTGAAGCAACACATTTCATAATAACATAAAAATATCTTAGGTAGAAAACTTGTGTAGTCATCCATATTCATGGATTAGAAAGATTAATCTAGTGGAAATAGTGATCATAACAAAACCAAACTGAAGATTCAACAAAAAACATCAAAATTTCAACATTATTCTTTGTAAATAAAAGCAAACTCTGTTTCAAATGAATACACACACACACACACACACACACACACACACACACACACAAAGAAAACAATCCTGAATAACGAAAAAATTACTGATTATCACCGTCCACGAATTCTGTTATTGGTATAAGCAGCATGGTATTGGTATAAAAACAGATATATTGATCAGCGGAATCTACCTGAAGACTCAGACCTAATTCCACACATTTGGACAATATATATATATTTTTTTACTAACAAGCCAAAAACATACACTTGAGAAAAATTAATATTTTCAAAATCTTGGTAGTAAAACTGGATAGCTGAAAGTACAACAATACAAATAGATCCATAATTGTCTCTACATAAAACTCCACTACATATGGATCGCTGATCTCCACATAAAACCAGATACGCTTATCTGCAGAGATGTGAAAGGGCCAAATAGGTTTGAACTCACTGACACAAGAGAGGACTTTCTGACAGGACTCTGAGAGCAAAGACACTAAGACAAATAATTAATTAATGGATCCTCTGAATGAAGCTGAAAATAAGGCAAAGCAAGCAGAGCATCTGTCAAGCAAAGCAGCAGCCAAAGGAACAGTTAAACAGTTTTTCCAATTATCTGTCTGATAAAATGTTAGTAGCTTCACTATATGAAGAACTAAAATACTAAAGATCTTTACAAATGATATATCTGATACAAGAAAATATAAAAGGTTAATGAACTTCTAATGATCTTGATCATATTTCAAACAGTAAAAAGACATATGTATACTATACATGTGCACACACACACACGCACACACACACACACACACACACACCACCCAGAGTTACACATATTATTTCGAAGCTATTGAATATATCTATTCAACAAGTATTTTATACAACATAAACTAAACAGAGAAGTAAATAGTATGACTTACACCGCATCCAACGTTTCATTCTTATGCTTAAGAATTTTTCCTCCTACTGTATAACCCAGAGTGTATCCCATCATTTTTGCAGCATCCATGATAGCTTGAAAATGAACACAACATCAAATAGCTTCAAAATCAAATTTGGTCATACAAAAATATAGGTAAACTCTCTGCGAGATACATACATAAATATATACATATATATGTATATTTTATTCTATTCTCTATTACTTAATAGAGAGAAGATTAATAGGGACAGAGAGGAAGAAATGGGAGTGTGCATAAAAGAGAGGGAGAGATGTTCTTGAAAATATTTCTGGAATTTTTTCTAACAAGTTTCAAATTATATAAAAGAGCAGGCTGGTGTGAAATTAATGCAAGTGTTGATGGTAGCCTTATAGTTGATGCCAGTCCTGAGCTACAATCACTGCTTCTTTGCGAACAGTGAGTCTGCCCTGTTAGGATTCTGCATTGCTTGAGTGAGGCCTGTTCTTATCACATAGGTCATATGCTTTACTCAGTGTTAACTGATTATTAATGTTAATCATACCTAAAACAACATTGGAGAACCACCTAGACTCCTGTGTAACAGTATAAGTGGGTGGCATATCTTCTTATATATTCAAGTGTTAGATACTCCTATAACTTAATTATGAACATAATTGTCTCTTATTTAATCTCTATATTAAATGTAACATAAATAAATTACATTGCCTTTAGTATGCCAGTAGAAACATTGTCAAAATAAGTACAAAGTAAGTGCATAGTCTTAAAAATGATGTCTACTATTGACCTGAAAATACTTCTTCATTCTGCCTGACAAGGACCAGAATTTATACAGGTGATTAGACAGATTATTTGGGGCTGAATCAATGCCTGTTTAATGTAGGACACAGATTACATATAACATTGTAAATGGAAAAGAGTACAGTGTATTCAACTATCTTCTTTTCCCCAACTTTCTACATTCTTCTGTCTTCTCCCTCCATATCCCTTCCCCACTCTCTCAGGGAAAGATAAACAGAGACAAAGAGAAAATTTTTCTACTTAAAACATACAAAGAATTTCTACTTCTCAAAATCTTATCAGTGACATTAAGATGATTTTTCTAGTGTTCAAGATCTCATAATTAGATGTATCAGTGTAAAATTAAGGTTAGGAAACAAGTCATCACTCCTTAGCACAGTGTCATCACAGATCCAACAGTACTTACCTATAAGTTAAACCACACAGATATCCGACAATTATTCAAAATGGGGAGTACATATTAAAAACAAACTTGCCTAAATACAAGCCAGCTGAGTATGTGGGGACATGGTCAAAAATGAAGGTCACACCAAGAATATAAATTGGCATCCCTGCTATTCCATGGAGACACTGCGAGAAGATGTAGAAATAGATACATATTGATCTGTAAGGTATTTTCAGTCCACCACAACTGTCTGTCTTTTGTCTTTCTTCTATGCATAACTCTTGAAAGATAAGAAATATATTTTACTGAATTGAGTTCAAAATGTAATGTACAAATAATTTTCAGTTGAAACCACTACCATTCTTATTATCTCTTTACATTGAGTGTTGTCATATCATCAATTCATGATTATATTCATAATAGAAATTGCAAAATAAAAGAAAATGGTTGGGAATACTGGAAGTGACACACATATCGTGAGACAGTATATGAAAGTGATAAAGATTTCCTTAGATACTGTGTGGTTCTCTACTCATTTGATTTTAAATTCCTTTGGACCACAAGTTATTTCTTAATTTTCTTATTCACATGGTTATGAGGTTTGTGCCTACTTGTTAGTAGATTGGCAGAACTAAGCAGATGATACAAACCATATTTACTATGACCACCATGATTGAAATTTAACATACTCTTTTTTGTGTGTTTGTTTGTTTGGTTTTTTGTTTGTTTGTTTGGTTGGTTGGTTTTTCTAGACAGGGTTTCTCTGTATAGCCCTGGCTGTCCAGGAACTAACATATGTTCTTAAAATGTTATTGTAGAAACACTAATAAAGTGAAGGTTGCCACTTATTACACCAATGAAAAGGTATGTGACATAGTTTCTTTCTTTTTTTTTAGGTTTTAAAATGATTTTATTGGCAAGGAAACCACAACATTGATGTGTAGGATCTTGTGGCTATCTAAGTCTTCAAGTAAGCCCAGTGTCCTAAACCTTCAGCAGGAGGTAACTTCTTATTTAGATGTGAAAGAAAAAAGACAAGGAATGGTAAGAGGGACAATACCTAAGAAGTTTTTTCTGGGATTTAAGCAATGGGCACGTCTTATGTATCAGTAAAAGGGTATCCATAGACATTTGTGTGATCAGAGAGGGACCATGGCATGCTAGGTTGTTACCCCAATATCTATTTCCCCTTTCTAATCTATTGGTACACTTCTCATCATGCCTTACAACCAGGGAGGGCTAGTAGATACTAATTTCTGGACAGGAGGGCGTAACTGAAATGACACAAAATAGGACCAAAGCTAGAAGGCACAGCTAAATGGCTACCAAAAAGATTAATGAAGTAAATAGTTTCTATGAAGCAATATATAACTTGGCGGAAAGAGGGAAGATGTTCTAAAATTGTGATTTAACTAATCATATATCTCTACTTTTGTTTTTTAAAATACATACTGATTTCAAGGATTTTTAGTGACATTTTCATACATGTATATGATGAATTCCTATAGAATACAATCTTTAAAATTTCTGTATGCCTCACAAATGCACTATTAGAATTGAGTTCCGCTTTACAACTGGTTCCCTCTTCTGCATTCATGATCATTTTATTTTTACTCTTCAATGAGTTGTTTACTGGATGACAGGTGAACGGTTATTCACAGGAGCCTGGGCACCTTGCCAGGGTCTCTACTAGTCTATTGTGGAACTCTGTCTCTTTGCCTCTGCCTCCTCCTCCTCCTCCTCCTCCTCCTCCTCCTCCCCCTTCTCCTCCTTCCCTCCTCCTCCACTTCTCCTCCTCCTCCCCCCCCTCCCCCCCTCTCTCTCTCTCTCTCTCTCTCTCTCTCTCTCTCTCTCTCTCTCTCTCTCTCTCTTTCTCTCTCTCTCTCTAGCTGTATATATAGGAATGCAAGGTGACCTGTGATCTAATTTTCCCTCCATGATAAGTTGTTCATAGTTTCTATCTTGAGTAACTGATGTACAGATACTAACAGTTTCCATAAGTTCAAGATTACACTGGCTTCTTCATGCCTAAATTCAATGTTTCACACTACTTCTCATACCCCTCTACCCCTGTTAAGCTTATTCCTTCTTCTGCCTCTACTTCTGCAGCATTCTGTGATCCTCGTAGAACTCATTTATGGCTGAGCCTATAACAGTCACACTTTCTAAATTCTTGTTCTTCTAATCTTTCCGGCTAAAGTCTTTTAGTATGTGATCCACATAATTCTTTAAAACTCCTGTTGGAATGCTCCTGCTTAACTATCTCAGTGGCCCTGTATATGTTTCTTCTGTAATTATCATTGACACTTCTTTATATTTTTCCCTCTTTTGCAACGTGCAAACTCTCAGTAAAATTACAACCTTAGTCAAATTATCACTCATGATCTCTAGCTATACTTTTAGGGCAGATGAAAACCATGTGGCATTCGAAATCCAACTTGACTTCATGTTAAATAGACTCAAGAAAGTCCTTCAGGCTCATGATAGTCATAAAACATAAATCACATCTTGAGTCCATTTCCTTCTGTCTTATTCTAGAATGTTACTAGTCTACTTACTCCTAAGGATCGCATTTCTCAGCTTTCCACTAACTAATATTTTTTTTAATCTTAACAATAATAAATAATTGTCTATGAAGGAAACTGAACATTATAAGTAACTTAACATGTAAGTAGCATTCATAGAAACCCCCAAAGAAAAACTATCAAGAAGTGGGGTGTGTTCAATACCATAAATACTGACTAAAGGTTTAATTTCACAACACATAAGGTTTAGTTATAGTAAACAGCATGGTTTATATTAAAGACTTAACAGATATAATTGTTATAACACTTTAGGTAAATCACATTGAAATTGACCATAGAAATGTGTAAAAAAAATCAAGAAACATGAAGTGGTCTTTCATATACTCATGTATGAAAATATTTCAACTGGTGATAAAAAGAATGAGAAGGACTTGGAGCTGCAGAGGTCCTCAGCAACACAAAGAACTGAGTATTCTTGCAGAGGACCTGGATTATGTTTCTAGCAGCTAAATGTCAGGTCAAACCCATCTGTACTACCAGTTCCAGGAAATCTGACAACCTTTCTTGATTTGGCAGACATCAGCTCGCAAAGAATGTGCATACATACATACATGAAACACACTCAAAGAGATAAATTATTAAATATTTTATGGAATTTAATCCCTCTGTCTTTCCCAATTAAAATATACCATTTATAAACAAAAAGCAGCAATGAATTTGAGAGTGGCTAAGTGTGGAAATATAAAGGATTGGAGGCGGGAACAATATGTGAGAGTTTGAGAAGATGAGACAAGTGGGGGTTTGGGAGACTGAAAAGGAAAGACAATAGTCATGTCATTTCATTTTAATTAAAATAGTTGAGAAGCATGCAAAAATTAAAAATAGAAGGAGAATAATTTGGTTGTGTTTAATCACTAATGAGAACTGACAGAGAAGAGGACCTTGAAGGGGATGACAAATGGAAGGAAGGATGAGGTAGGAGCACACAGAAAGATCACTAGAGAGCAGTCCTTTCATTTTCACTGGAGAGAAAAAGGAATAATACTGATACAAAAAAAAAAAAAGAGAAGGCCAAAGTAAAACTTCATGGTTAAGAAATTAAGGCAATGTTCCTACATCACATAATTTTCCATCCAACGTAGGATATTTTAAGAGTTTAGTAAGAAAGCCTAAAGTACACCCAAAGGTTAGAACAGAACGTGGACTATGATGATATTCACATGAATAGACCCCTTTGTCAAGAAACTAGCACTTCCTATTGGCAGCAGCAGATTCTTCATAGGACTCAAGAGCCACCAGGCATAGGGAAAGGGGAAGGTGCATGATTCATTTCCAAGGTTTCCAAGCAGGAGATAAAAGGAGAATGAGATAAAATAGCTGAGAGCACTCACTAAAGGAGGTTTGAAAGATTTTGATAGGTCATGTTGGCAGATAGAAAACTAGCTGCAAATGATGGGAAGTAGCATCTAGGAGAATCAGGGAAAGCTGGTATTCATGATACCTAATATCACTGGTCCTAATGATACAAAAGAGGTTTGCCTTCATTCTAATTAAGTACGAACCACTGGTGGATATCATCAAAAACCTGAGCTCAGTACACCTGCTAAGATAGATATGTGCATGGTCACTTTATATAAAGTTCTGAAAAACCAAGATGACAATATAGAATGGGTATTCATATGAATTTGGGGAGAAAGTTTGTGTTGAATTGTTTAATATATTGTGAAGTATGATGTCTACATGTTTGTTGAGTCGCACATATTCTATATGAGAGTTGAACATGAACCTGTCATCATTGTAAGTAAGAGATGCAAGCATATAACAGATAACAAACAGAAAACAGAAAGCAGTGGACTGACTATACCAAAAAGTTTCAGAGAACAGGTAATGAAAATGAACCTAGTGTCAAATCAAGAAAGCACTAAAAGGAAAGAGCAGAAAAGAAAATTAGGAGACAGCAATAATGGGAGATGTAAAGATAAACAAATGGAGAATCTCTTTATGTGTGTGTATGTATGCATATTTGTGAGTATGTCTTTCTGTCTGTGAGTGTGTGTTTCTATAAGCTGAAATGAGTGTACAGTCAAAACGAGTTTTGCACATAATTCCAAGTAGAACAAAATTTATAAAGCATAGATGACATGAAAAATATTAAATAGGAAGAAAAAATACTGCTGTGATTCTTCAGCACTGATAATAGAATTTTAAAAATTCAGTTTTACATTTTAAACTGTGCTTGTGTATATGTATGTAAGCCAATGTCATCAGATACCTGAATAGAGTATCAGATCCCCTAGAAGTGTAGTTATGTGTGGGTCCTAGCTGCCTGACGCTCATGGTTAAAACCAAACTCAGGTCCTCTGCAAGGATAGTGCATGTTCTTAATTACTGACTAGAAATTTTAGTATTTATCAAGTCAAGTTCTTGAGGACTCTACTATTTCTGACCAGAATACTGTTAAAAGACCAAAGTAAGGAAATGCTTTTCATTTTCTTTTTTCATAAGCCATCTTTTCATTAAAGCAAATGTCAGTTCTACAAATATAATTGTCACTTTAAAAACATGTATGATACACAGTTCTTACATTTGTGTGCATTATATAGTATGTAACCACTTTAATATTATTTGTGCTTCATATCAACTAATTTTAATGTAATATTGTGTAAACATCATAAATATATCATGCATTATAAACTTTAAAAACATTCATTTACATATTCACATGGATACTTATCTTTTTTACATCATGTCTTGTTAAAACCCAGCTTTATATGTGTATATAAGTCTGTACATGATCTGAGGTAATAGTGTTAGAAATATACTCCAAAGACATTACAAGTAGTTCTTGTTTACTAGGAATAGCGAGAGATTGTTGTATCACAAAGCTACTGTCTTTAAAGATTCAAATGGCACTCAGAGTAGCATCTAACTTTGGAAAAGGGTAACTTTTCCAGTTATCCCCTCATTATGTGTAAATTTACTCCTGTATTTGAACTTATGTGGGTCTGAGCTTATGTAACGAGAAAAAAAGAGAATAATTAAAGTATCTTATAGAAAATAAAATGATTTTCTAGACTTCTCAGTAGATTTATAACATACATAAAATTTTATAAAATAAATAATTGTAAAGTTATCCCCAAATAGTGCTTCCTAGACTCAGCTTGTTCTGAGAGATAAATCAGAGAGCTTCAAATAGTTATTAAGTGTGGTTGCATAAACAAATACAGAAGAAATGCAACAAGATATACATCATGAACTACTGTAAATTCCTTGAACCAATGATTTAAATGAACATTGATATGATAGTATATTTGAAAAATCTCACCTTCAGTTTCTTCAACAGTACTCAAAATTTCATATTTAAGTAAAGGAAAGGCAAATGAAATTGATTCAAGTCCCAATAAAACAGAGGCAGCTGCCAGCCATTTTGACCTGTTCCCTCTACCTCCAAAGTGCGCTACCAATATTGCTACCAGGAAAGATGAAAAGTAGTCACTTATATCCATTATAAATGTCTCTTGGTTGGACAGTAAAAATTTAGACTCATAGAGTGTCATATTCAGATCAGACAAAGCATACATAACACCTGGAAAGTCAAAGACAGACAAAAGGCAACATAATGCATTTTAATAGACAAAACAGATAAGCATTATAGTCATCATTCATACAAAACTGTAATTTATATTGATTTAAATTTATTTTATAACAATACAAATTAGTAAAACCTATATAGTAACAATAAATTCATTAATTCCATGAGATAATTTTTTCTGAATATGAGAAGCTATTTTAACTACTACTATTAGTGGTCTTTTAAAGAAAAATTATATTGAAATCATGTCATCACTTCAAATGTATTATGTTCTAGTTATGAAGAATTAATAAATAATAGAATGGTTGTTTACCTATTTTCTCTAAATTGAAACTATAAAGACATTTGAAACACAGCTTGGATTTCCAATATAAATTTGTTCCATAGCTAACATTCTGTGCTTGAAGTTTACATTTCTGTGTATTTTCAATCTCAAAAATAATTAATGTATACATTCAATGTAAATCATTCTAAAGAACATGAAATAAATAAATGATACCATTATCTGTGTAGAATCACCATCCAGCATGTAAAAAACGAGAACAATCATAGAAGGGGAAAATGATGTGATATAAGAAATAGCTGCAGAAAGATTTCATTTCTTGGAGTGAAAACAGAAAATGGTTACAAATTCAAACTCATGATATGTCTGCAAAGTGGCAGGAGCACATGTCATTGCTAAAGCAAACATTGCTGCTGCTGCACAGTTTCCTCAAACACTCCTTGGATTGCAGGGATCCAGGAATCCATAGGCTCTTCCAAAAGCTCCTAAAGCTCTGAGAACCAACTGATCCCCTGCCGGTCTACAGCCCCAGGGCCAGACACAGGAGCACAGTGCAGGTGAAACATTCAGGATTGTTGCTGATAGAATATCTGTCCCCTACTTTACCTCCAAGAACCTCAATCACTCCTCCAAGAACCTCAATCACTCAGTGTTGCTTCTGCTGCCAAAATCACCACCGAATCAGAAAACCACAGAAGATTCTGCCTACACCTTTGGTACCTACTGCCCCAGCCTCTCACTGACAATAGCTAAGTGTGAGAAATGTAGCGGACAAATGTAGTTTCCAAGTTATCAGGACCACTTGTAAATTAAAGTGAGTTCAGAAGTGAATCAATGGAGTTGGGGACTACAGGCAAAATGAGAATTTTCATATTACCAAAAATTATTAGTAAAATATGTATAACTAAAAAAAATTGGTGAAAGAAAAGGAAGCGGGCACAGACAACATATGGATACAGGCACTCGTGTAGTTCGTCCTGTGCTCTGGACCACCTGAAGTCTCACCAGCCCTCAATTCTAAGATTAAGAAACAAACTCCAAGCAGAACGCTACTTTGTTCAGAATGTTTCAAACTTGTGAGCAGAAATCATGATGGCAGAGCTATTTTCAATTTTATCTCAATCTCGAAAAGACTCAACCCGAACTTAAGTTGATCATTAAATAACATGCACTAATGAAACATCACCTTCTCATCAGTTCTAAAGCTGTAATCCACTGTGTAGAATGCCAAGCAGGGAGCAAATGACTAAAGGCATTGGGTTAACTGGTTTTCATTCATGTTTGGAAAATGAGTAAGAAATCATCCACCTTCTCTATCCCACAGTGTATCAGCCTCATGTCTCCCTCAGTGAAGCCTTTCACCAAAGTAACTTGGCTCAACTTACCATGAATTAAGGCTGCCACAAAGTATACAGTCATGAATGAATCAATGTTGTTGAAACGCTGTAAACGAGGGAAAACTAGAGGGCCCAAACCAAATGGACCTTCCTTGGAAGCACTGTATTTTGGATCTGATAACAGTTCGGAACTTGTTGGAGACCTTTTTCTTTTTGGGAGACCTTTAAACTTCTTCTTGGCAGCTGGAATTGTTTTCAGATACGTTCCTAGTTTCTGGACTCTCTCACTTTCAAGTTTGCTGTTTTCATCCTTCTCTACTACCGGAGCCGCCTTCTTTCTTCCTGTCTTTTTTTTCTGGACCTGGGCCATGGCTTGTCTGAATCAGCTCTGTGGATACTGCAGGTATGTTTTGAGGCACCTGTGTACTTCCTGGTCTCAGGTGACTTAGTCTGTCTGTAAGAGAGCTGCCACTCTAACCTCTGAAGGGAACGTTATTTCAAGTGCAGGAAGCCAACGTCCCTACAGACTGGTTGAGTGACGCGGCAAAAGTTCCAAAGCTGGATTCCATCTTTTCCGTCTCACAGAGGAGGAAAAAAGAGGATAAAAGGAAAGAAGAAAATAATAAGAAAGGACAATTTGACTCCTTTCCTTCCTGTTTGTATCTCTTTGATCTCCTTCAGTTGTCTTATTGTACTAGCTAAGGGTTCAAGTAGTAGGTTGAGTATATATAGAAATAGTGGACATCTTTTGTTTAATTTATTTAAACGAATTATTTAATGAATTTAATAGAATTGTTTCTATTAATGCTGATCTTAACTGTAAATTTGCTGTAAATAGTCCTTGTAATGTTGAGATATCTTCCTGGTATCCCTAGTGTGACTAACAATTTTTATCACGAAGGAGTGTTGGATTTTGTTAAAGGTCTTTTCTGTATCTAATAAGATTATCATGAAGTTTTTGTCTTTTAGTCTGTTTATGTGTTGGATTATGTTTATTTAATTACATATATTTTCACATCCCGGCTCCTCTGGGGTGAAACCTATAAGGTCATGTTGAATATTATTTTTTTAAAATGTGTGTTCTAGGATTCAATTTGAAAGTATCATCACAGAGGACACCAATGTTTATTTGGAAATCCATAGCTTGTTGTAAAAGTGTACAATACCCTGTGTAGAGTAATTCCAGATAGACAATACATAGATGGATAGATGATAGATGGATAGATGATAGATAGATAGATAGATCAATGATAGGTAGGTAGATAGATGATAGGTAGATAGATGCCATATGGAAGGAAAGAAAGAGCAAAAGAAGAAACAAATGAAAGAAAAAGTAGATGAAACATAGAATGTTTGAGAAAGCTATTTGGAACCATACTATTAAACACACACAAGGCCTACATAATCAGTTATGCAACCCATTCCTCCTCTCATACCCTACTAACACTTTCCCACTCATATCCTCCTCCCCGTTACTCACCATCCCCCCCTCATATGACCTGAGTTATATACTATTACTCTTCCCTTAAGGTCTTCTTTTTCTCTCACCTCACTGATCCCTTTCTAGTATTCTGGATTCTAAGGTTTTCTAAATTAAACACATAAGTCAACATTTGATGTTGAGATCCATAAATGGCAGGCAGTGATAGCACATGTCTTTAATGTTAGCACTTGGAACTCTGGAAGCAATGGCAAGGCAGGTATATCTCTGTAAGTTGGAGGTCAATCTGGCTATATATATATGTGTGTGTATATATATATATAGTGTGTATATATAATATATATGTGTGTATATAATACAATATATTATATATAATCATATATACATATAAACTTATTGATCCATTTGGAATTAATGTATGTGAGGCATGAAGTGAAAGGGTCAACTTTCAATCGATTACCTATGGTTATCCAGGTGCCTCAAATACCACTGTTATAGTTGCAATCTTTTTTCAATGTTATGTTTTCAGTATCTGTGTCAAAAAACAGGTGTTAGATGATCCTCAAATCTATTCCATTAATCTCTGTCTCCCTCTCTCCCTCTCTCCCCCTCCCTTTCTCCCTCTCCCTCTCCCTCTCTCCCTCTCCCCCTCCCTCTCCCTCTCCCTCTCTCCCTCTCCCTCTCCCTCTCCCTCTCTCCCTCTCCCCCTCTCCCTCTCCCCCTCTCCCTCTCCCTCTC